TGATACAAGTATGTATCACGTCGCTTGTATCATATAACTTATCTTGTAGCATATATCACCGTTTCGTGCGGTCGGCTTAAAGCTCATATCGGATTATGAATTAAGATTGAGATCGAATTGAAATTTGGCTAATCGGAACAAAGTTTACTAAAATCGAATTGAGCGAACTTTGCTCTGATTGGCCGAATTTCAATTCAGTCTCAATTTTAATTTCTAGTCCGATAAGGACTTAAAAGGAACAGATTCAAGGCACAAAACGAACAGACTTTTGTTCTGAACGTGTAGCGAACGTTAAGTTTCTCTTCCAGTAAGTTCCGTTTTTCTTCCTACAAGTGCCAGGTATAACGTTTCAGCTTGCGAATTTGCAGCGTCAAGTGGACTCTACACTGATATGTTACTGGTTTCCCGCCATTTCGCCGCGCATGCGCAAAAATCTTATTCGTCTCGCAACGCTGGCGGCCAGTTTCAAAGTTACTGTGGCATTCTGACATCTTCACGTTTCATTTGTGTCATCAAAGATTATCCGTCAGACGGTGAATTCATTGTTATTCAGTGTATGAAACGAGACATTTGTTCACTTATTTATTCTTTCTCAATAATCAGAGAATCGAGTTCGTTAATATGTATTTGTATACATATATGTATTATTTTACGTCACGACGGAAGATCTCTATAAATCTTGAACTTAATATCCAAGTTTCATGTTGCGTCGATGGGGATAATAGGATTGGATGATAAGACGATATAGGTAATTACACATGTATTTATATACTTAAATCCTTTACACAGACCGGCGTAATAGCTTTGAAGCTATTGTGCCGGTCTGTCTACGTATTACGTAACTGAATAGGACGAAGGTTAAGGTGTACGAATGTCGTCGTTGACAAGAAACAACGGCACGAGCAGTGTGGATTCCTTAGAAAAAGCAACATGCCTGCGAACGTAACTGGATTTGGACCTTTAATAGGTGCTATCGATGAAGGAACGAGTAGTGCTAGATTTTTGGTAAGATGCAATTTATTCAATTTCTTGTAAGATGATGAATTTTAATATATATAATATTCTGGTAGTATACAAGAGCTGCATTCCAATATTTACTGTTAATACTGAAAATTATTAATATATATAACATGAACCATAAATTTTCAGCATTGGCAATGAATTTTGGAACACATCCAATGTATCGCGGAAAGAGAAACTTGTTTTTAGTACAGAAGATGTTTGAAGCCTTTCATATTATTTATACCTAGAAACTGTTAAAAAAATAAAAACAATTGTTTTCGATATTTTTGCTTTATTAATTCATGAGGTTTTTTTATATATCTTGTAAAGTATCTAGTCAAGTATCTGGTTTTGATGTAGAAAATATCTTTTAATCCATTTTTTCATTATTCTTGTTATATTTGTATAGATTTTTGACGTATTGCATAGAAAAGTGGTTGCCTCACATCAGATTGAAATCAAGCAGAAATATCCGCAAGAAGGATGGGTAGAACAGGACCCAAACGAGATATTACATGCTGTCATAGAATGTATAAAAGAAACTGTAAAAAAGATGAAGAACATGTGTTTGTCAGTCTCTGATATCAAAGCTGTTGGTATCACTAATCAGAGGGAAACAACTTTGGTATGGGACAAGGAGACTGGGGAACCTTTGCATAATGCAATTGGTATGTAATAGTCATATAAGATATCTTGGTTTTGCTGCTGCATTGAATTCTAATAATATATTCTTCACTATGTTTGGCTGATTTTTTAATTCAGTAGTGTATGATATCCAATAAATTCAATGACGTCAAATGATATATTAATGATATATCAATGATATTAGGGATGTCATTAATATGTCGTCATGTTTGTGCTGTGTATTTTTAATGAAAATGTTAAGCAATTACTATGAATTTATTTAACAAATAATTTCCATATATACACGCATGTGTAATAATATGTAAGTTTGTCGAATAAGATTATTAAATAGAATTTACTAACGTTACAGTATGGCTTGATATGAGAACAACTACGACTCTAGACGATGTATTGGATAGTGTCCCTAATAAAACGAGAAATAAGAATTATTTGAAGCCTCTATGTGGTTTACCAATGTCTCCCTATTTTAGCGCTCTTAAGATACGCTGGTTGATAGATAATGTGCCACGCGTGAAGCAAGCAGTAGATGCAAGCAGGTGTGCTTTTGGAACAGTTGATACTTGGCTTATTTGGGTAAATAAGAATTTTCGTTGAATAGTTCAAACTAACAATTTGTACGTAAACTTCTCACGCAAAATCTGCATATTAATTAAATTTCATTGAAAAGATATGTAAAGTATATTACGGATTTTTTGTGATATATTGCGTCAAAAGCAATTTAATTCATTTCTCCTTATTCGTGCGTGAAATAGCATTTATTGTTTTTATAATTAAACCAAAGAGAGATATATTAAATATTATCGTAGAATATTTTTTGTGTTTAGAATCTCACCAAAGGCCAATTGCACATTACGGATGTATCGAACGCATCCCGCACGATGCTGATGAATATCGAAACATTAAAGTGGGATCCTCTGTTATGTCGCTTCTTTGGTATCCCACAACACATTCTGCCGGAAATACGATCCAGTGCGGAAATCTACGGTCACATTTCAAACCCTGAAGCGCTTGCGGGCATACCCATAGCAGGTGTAAGTCATGCATATTAAATATCCTTTTGGAACCTAATAAGTATCGCGTTTTTAGCGAAATAGTTTAAGAAATAATTGTGTATGTATATTTGAAGTAGACACAACATGTAATTATTCTCCTCTGTTCCTCGCAGTGCGTAGGCGATCAACAAGGAGCTCTTCTCGGCCAATTATGCTTGAAACCTGGCCAAGCGAAGGCTACGTATGGCACGGGATGCTTCTTGCTTTATAATACAGGAAACGTAGTATGTATAACGATGAGAACGATCGGGTGATATAGAGTCCGTAGCAAATGCTTTTTCTTTCTATATCGAAAGAAGCGCTCAAATAGTAACGAGAGATACGAAATATTGCTTTGCAGAAGGTCGATTCAACGCAAGGTTTGTTAACCACCGTTGCTTACAAGATTGCACGATTCCCGCCTGTTTACGCATTAGAAGGATCTGTCGCTGTTGCCGGTGCTGCTTTATCTTGGCTGCGAGATAATGTACAAATTCTTACTAATATCGCGCAGTCACAGGATATGGCAGAACGTGTGAGATGTTCCGGTGATGTGTATTTCGTGCCAGCTTTTTCAGGGCTGTACGCGCCTTACTGGCAACAAGATGCACGCGGGTATTGTTTCTGACTGAAGATTTCATTCTTTTCTCTACTTTTCGCCAGAGAGTACAAAATTACAGCTCTTTTACGATTATATTAGATAAACGATATCTCTCAGGTTCATCTGGTAGCTTTCAAGCACAAACTCTTTGGCGAATATAAATTTTCTTTTATTTATTTTACAAGGTGGAAATCGTTTTCACATAGTAAGGACAAAGTTAAAAGCTTGGAAAGTGATTGAGATTAAAATTCTATAAATGTGAAAAGAAAGTTTCGATAAGATATGCATTCCGAAATCTATTCTTCTTGTATATCTATACTTGTATACCCTGTATAAAGATGCCTGAATGTTACGTTTAAGTAATCTCTCTGTGCGAGTAGTTGATGTACATAATGTGTGTCCTTGAATTTTTATATTGTACAATTTATTTAAATCCAGAGTAATCTGTGGGATTACCGAGGATACGCAGCAATATCATATCGTACGAGCAGCGTTGGAAGCAGTTTGTTTCCAAACGAGAGACATATTAGAGGCAATGGTGAAGGATTCCGGGACAAAACTAACAACTCTGCAAGTTGACGGTGGTATGACGGTAAACAGTTTATTGATGCAGCTGCAGGCGGACTTAACGGGAATAACGGTTGGTGAGTAAACGATATCAGAGTATAGTTTCTTTACGTGCACTGCATATTTATTTTTACACTTTAAAATACAATGCACAAAATATGTCGCAATTAAATATCTCAAAACTATATTGAACAGTGAGACCAGATATGGTTGAAACGACGGCGCTAGGTGCTGCTATTTTAGCTGGTATTGGTGCAGGTTTAATCGACATAAACGATGTGGATGGATCTCAAGTAACCAAGTTTTCACCTGCAATTAGTGAGGACGGTAAGCGATCGTATATTTCTTGATGTTACATATCGGTGATAATTTAAGAAAAAGTCGAAAGGAAGAAAAACATGTAATAATGACATACATTTATTTATATAAATACTGATACATCTATAAATACTATTATTAGTAACTATTAAGAAGTTAATAATATGCTACTATTATTATAAATACTATAGGAACTACTGATAATATCATACAACTATAAGTAGATATAACACACTAAATATATATAGGCTTATATTTATGTTCCATATACTAATTTTACATTTTTTATTAGAAAAGAACTTGAGTAAAAAAACTTTCTTTCTTAAGAACTGAATTTATCTTTGGTTTGCACATCTGTGAATATAATTTTAATCAGGTTCGAACGTTACACAGTGTACAATTGTTGTAAAATCGTAGTAAAATCTTTTCATATTGCAATCTTACAATAAGCTAATCAAATTTATCAGAATTCTGAATATCCTTTAAATATGGGATATGAATATGCTGGCTTATAAATAATAATATACAAATAGGAATATACAAATAGGAAATAATGAAGTGATCTAATCATTTCCGTTTTAGAGAGAGATCTCAGATATTCTAAGTGGAAAATGGCCGTTGAAAGATCTATGAAGTGGGATTGTTCGACGACTTTAATGAATAATTAAAGCTGTACACACAAACGCATATTTTTGTACCGGATATGAGAAATAAATATTTAGAAATATTACACACATAATTTGTGACAAATTGTGTCAAATCGTGTCAATCCGTAATGTAACTATTACAGTCCATATTTCATCAAACGTATCCCGATTTTCCGCCTTTCCACGTCCATCTTAAGATACGCAATAATTTCTTTCATATTGTGAAACAAATTATTGTGATATCTAATCCATCAACATCCTATATGATATATAAAGTATTTATAGATACAATCTATAAATTATATGTATAATGTGTTTTTTCTCTAGCACGTAAAGTTTAATTATATTTACCCACCAGATCGAGCACGTAAAGTTTATTTACATTTACCCACCAGATCCTACCTGCGTTTTATAGTTCCATGTCTCTAAACGAACATGCACAGGTATTATATGGCGTGTTCGCACCGCGCGCTGGTCATTATGTCGCTAATGACCAATGCTGTTGTTATAATTACATCATACATTGCATCATGTTATATCTCATTAACAGTATAGAGTCAAACTTGTCTTTCGGTCACCACACGCGCGAGTTGTCATTATTATATATTATTTAATATAATGTTATTTGTATTACAGAATTAAGCGCAAAAATAGAAACGAAAAGAAACTCGTACGAGTCGCAGATGCGTCCGGGTCCGTTCGAAATTCTCGTTTTCCTGCGTGAGACATTCTATCCGGCCCCGCCTGATTGATCCTGCGAATATTCTCGGGACGAGTTGAGCGCGCGGATCAATGTTGCGCATGCTGGGCGCATGTGAGATGACGGCACGTGAGATGCTGCGTTCTGTCATCTCTGCGTCCTTCTCACCTTATCGTCGCGGTGTCAGTCAGGCAAGGACCGCCGAGCGCGTGCACTCGAAAGCAAGATGAAGGATCACGACGGAACGGCCCACCAGAGGAAGCCCACGAAACTTAGGAATCTCACGGACAAGACGGAGGCGTTCGACTCCCTGCACGTGAAAAATGCCGAGGTAATTCCCGAGGAATTGAAGCAGAAATTTCGAAAACTCTTCGGCGTATCGGTCGCGCGTGTTGTTTGCGGAAAAAATTGCATAAGATTATAATTGAATATACAGTAGGGATTTCTTTACATCGTGGCTGTGTGATATATAACACATTTGTTAACTTTAGCATGTCTCTTTACAAACAAACGCGAAGCGAGAGAAATAAAAAATAATATGGAGTGAGATTTTGTCGAATGATATATCGTGTAAATTTTTAGAGAACTCTTTGCTCGGGTCAAGTCTGTCTCGGTAGTGTGATGCAGCTGCCGACTCACGGAACCGAGCCGCGCACGAAAGAGGAAACGTTAATTCATGCGAAAGACTTCCTAGAGCAGTATTTCACTTCCATCAGAAGGTACCGGGATCGCCGTAGACTTTCTCAATAATCGTTGGGTCCTGTGATGTTTCTCACGTGAAATCACGTTTTATTCCCGATCGCAGGTTGAACAGCGATGCCCATCGTGCCCGTTGGGAGAGCGTTCAGAGAGAAGTGGTCGCCACTGGTACTTATCAATTAACGGAAACGGAATTGGTTTTCGGCGCAAAATTAGCGTGGCGGAACGCCGCGAGATGCATCGGTCGCATACAATGGTCGAAATTGCAGGTCCGTCAAAACGTTCACTCGCGCGAAGCGCAATATTCCCAAAGTGTCGTGCGTGTGTCTTTCGTTGTTAGTTTGTTAATCAAATAAATTTGTTAATAAATAGGTTTTCGATTGTCGTTACGTCACGACCACGAGCGGTATGTTCGAGGCTTTGTGCAACCACATAAAGTACAGCACGAACAAAGGGAACATCAGGTGACGCGTAATTTTGTAACATAAATCTTTTACAATGTTAATATACATTGCAATGTGCAACGTGCGCATTATTGTGTAAAATACAGAATGAAAAAGTTTTGCGGGAAGATGATTGTAGGAAAGTTATATATATGCTTGTTTTTAAATTTGTATGATTATTACTATGTAAAGATTCGAATATCCGAACAAATAATTAACGTTAATGAACACACACGTGTGTATTTAATTCATGACGTGTATTGTGATCTCACAGATCAGCGATAACAATATTCCCGCAACGTACCGATGGGAAGCATGACTATAGAGTGTGGAATCAGCAATTAATTAATTATGCGGGATACAAAAATCCAGATGGCACCATTCATGGCGATCCTGCCAATGTGGAATTTACAGAGGTACGTATATATATTAAATAAATAAATATAAATAAATATATATATATATATATATACTTATTTACTTATTACAATAAATTATAATTGACTTATGAATATATTTATATATTATATTCAGCTATATAATTAACTAGAATTAATTATCACTTACATAAATAAAAGCTCACCTATATTCAATTATTTATGCAGTGTCCCATTACCATCGTAAAATCTTATAAGAACCTATTTCGAAAAGCAAATGTGCGTAATTAAAACTTTCAAACAATTAACTGACTAATGATATAGCGTAGAATTGAGGCCGATAACTGAAAGCCAAAAACAAAATCACCTGAACAGTGAAAATCAATAACAGCCGAGCTGCGAAAATCAATAACAGATGAGTGATTGGTATCCGTGTACGCATGATTAACCGAGCATAATTATTGAGCGCGCGTACTCTATACGATGGACCAATGGTCGACCCTAATTGCCCATTAATTCGAAGGTGAAATTCGAGATTCGTGTCGATTTCGGTTCAATTTGAAAATAATTCGAAGTGTGATGTTATTTACGTGTTTTCGCAAGCTGGAATGGAAATTATCTCACTGATGAAAAATAAATTTTTATTTAATTTCTCTAAAGTGTGCGTGTGCGAAAAGCAATTTCGCGTTATTCGCGTCATCGCGAGGAAGACCTGTGACGGATTTTTTTTAGATACTCAACGAGCCGAGATATACTCGAATGTATCTCAAGTATTTCCAGAGAGGCAATATAGCTTTTGTGCTTCAACAGGTCTGCATGAAGTTAGGATGGAAAGGTACGGGGACTAGATTCGACATACTGCCGTTGGTTTTATCCGCCAACGGACACGATCCGGATTACTTCGATATCCCCAGCGATCTGGTGCTCGAAGTGCCCCTCATTCATCCTACGTAAGCAGTTCGACAATTAAACATTTCTAACCGTGAGAGTATAATTCCACAACGCAAACAATGACAGATTATTTACGTCAGAAGCGATGAGAAAAACGACGAAGACGAAAAATATACCAAGTCGCGATATACCAAAACTACGTGAATTTAGTGTCGAAAGTTCGTAATATTGTGTAATTGTAATGAATAAGTTCTCTTTAAACGAGATGCCGTTATCAAGTTTGTTACATTTGAAGAGCCATATATTGCGCAACGTGTCGCATAATTGAGAAATCATTTCCGTTGAAACGATGCTGCAAAACAGATATGATTGGTTTGAGAAACTGGGCCTGAAGTGGTTTGCCGTTCCGGCTGTGTCCGGGATGGTTTTCGATTGCGGCGGTCTGGTCTTCACCGCGGCACCTTTCAACGGCTGGTACATGAGCACCGAAATTGGCTCCCGAGATTTATGCGACACGCAAAGATACAATATGCTTCAGGTAATCTTCCATATTCGCATATTCTCACAATTCCCCCTATTGTTTCCACTGTGACACGATCACCGTTAATTATTAGAGATGTTGTCTTGTCCCTAATGATTTTTACTATTGAACAACCAGGTCTTTAATCAAATTTATGTTTGACGAGAAGCCAGTTTAATTCCGTCGACCGAAGTCAATATTGTAATAAATCACTTTGCTAAGTAACCAATTATCGTTAAGCGCCAAGTAAAGAAGTAAAGAGGAAGCGACGTTTTCAGACAATAGCGACGAACATGGGTCTGGACACAAGGACATCCATATCGTTGTGGAAAGATAAGGCAATGATTGAAGCTAACGTCGCAGTACTGCATAGTTTTCAGGTGAAATCGAATTTTCCCGGAACATTCATGTAATATTGTCATTATTTATATGTTATATAGAAAAATATCATATTATTATTATTTATAATTTGAAATATTAGTTTTCCCGAGAGCAACGTTATAGAAAGAAATTTGTTCCGCAATTTCTGCGTTTTTCGCGTAAAATCGTTTTCTTCGTTGCATTACTAGAGATGTCCAATTTCCGAGAAAATTCTCACGGAAGACCGGGAATTTTAAAATTATAATCTTTACCGGGAATTCTCGGAAGGAATTTTCAAAAGGCCTGTATTACAGCGTGTGTGTGTGTGTGTGTGTTGTGTGTGCATGCTCGCGCATACATTAAAGTGATTTATTTTACCGTCGTCATATTACGTGCGATATATTTGATCTAACGAATTCTACGTCAGATGAAGAATGTGACAATCGTGGATCATCACACAGCTTCGGAATCCTTTATGAAGCATTACGAAAACGAGATGCGTCTTCGAAATGGTTGTCCCGCGGACTGGCTGTGGATCGTGCCGCCGATATCCGGATCTGCAACACCGGTGTTTCATCAGGAAATGGCGCTTTATCATTTGAAGCCCTCCTACGACGCCCAGGTATTTCTTTTTCATTTTTCATTCGCTCCAAATGAGACCACACACTGAACGTTCTCAAATTATCAACTGACGGTTATTGTTGCGAGGAAATTTTCCAAAGTCGTTGATACTGAATAAATGATCTTCACAAACTTTATTATTAAATATAATCTCGATGCAGGATCCGGCGTGGAAAACTCACGTGTGGAAGAAGGGACGCGATAAGAAAGCAACGACGAAAAAACCAAGACGGAAGTTCCATTTTAAGCAGATTGCGAGGTGATTTTTACATAGATCTGTCTAAAGTAGAAGTTTCTGTACACCTCGACTCTTCCACTTCAAAATGTTTCAAGGGCCGTGAAGTTTACATCTAAGCTGTTCGGACGAGCTTTGTCGCGCCGGATAAAGGCAACGGTGTTGTTCGCCACGGAAACTGGCACGTCTCAAATGTACGCGGAGAAGCTGGGCGAATTATTGGGCCACGCTTTTCATTCTCAGGTAATACACTGTTATAACATAAAGTTGAAAGGATACGGAAATTCTTCTGCCTTTCAAATCATAATTTATTTGAAATAGTTTCGTTCATTTCTTTTTTAAATATTTTTTTTGAAGATTTACCATTTGACCATGTATGAATAAACGGTAAGCAAATACCGATTTTGAGCACAGGTGCTTTCAATGGCGGAATACGACATCAGTAACATAGAACACGAGGCTCTACTGTTGGTGATAACTTCTACCTTCGGAAACGGAGATCCACCAGAAAACGGAGAAGTACGTTAATTTGTCATTTTTTCTCTAAAAAATTATAAAAAAAAACTCCATATTTTCAATTCTATCTGCGTTTATTAATTATCAGTGCTCATAAAGGTGTTGATAAATAATACAAGAAATGTGTCGCAGGTTTTCGCACAGAACCTCTACGCGATGAAAATGAACGACGCCTATATAAACAGCGAAAATAAAATAAGGTACTTTCCCACTGACACGCGCGGAAGAAGAAAAGTCTGTCGCGTGTGTCTACAGTATAAAAATGATTTTCAGTCTGGCGACCTCGAAATCATTTATCAAGGCCAACAGCCAAACGGAAGTGAGCGGATCGAAAAAGTTGGATAGGCTGGACTCCCTGCGTGGCTCCACGACGGAGTCACAAGCCGAAGATACATTCGGGCCTCTCAGCAATGTTCGGTAATTTATTAATCACTTTGCACGTGCGTGTTTGTCAATAATTTGTCTGTTGAATATTTCCTTATGTTCAATATTATATGTGTCGAGAAATGATTTTTTGTCCAACCTCGGAATACGATTGCGCCAGGTTTGCGGTATTTGCGTTGGGCTCGTCCGCGTACCCGAACTTTTGCGCGTTCGGCCGTTACGTCGACAACCTGCTGGGCGAATTGGGCGGAGAACGATTGGCGCGCTTGGCCCAGGGTGACGAGATGTGCGGACAGGAACAGACTTTTCGGAAGTGGGCAGCTGATATTTTCGCGGTTGGCTTCTTATTTAGATATAACACCCGTTATGTGAACTAACTTTCCGTTTACTGGAAAATTCAATGCGAGTGATAATGTTCTCTAGCGAGTTCGTGTTTTGTGATACCAAATACACACAATAGTAGAGTTTCAAATCTACAAGATGCTTCGTACTCGCAAAAGTTGTCCACAAAAGCTTCGATATATGAATTTCCTAGCTCATTGGCCATGTCAATACTTCGAATTCTTATGCGAGTTCAACGCTCGCACATTTTCAAATGTGTTCGCGCAATGAAGTGTCTGTGAATGTCACAGGTTGCGTGCGAAACGTTCTGTCTGGACGACGACGACACGCTACTGGAAGTAGCCTTGTCTCTGGGTTCCGAGGCGTTATCCGCGGCAACTGTTCGTTTTGTGGAAGCTGAGCCTCAACCGATTGTCAAAGGTAACTCGTGTGCGACAATTTTTATACGTCCGTTTCGCTCGTATTTTCCGTTTCACCTGCGTGTGCCGCGATATCTTGTAATAAGAAAATTCGAGAAAGTCGGAAAGAAGACATAATAGTAAGAATGTTTGTCAATAGAATTGAAATTTCAGCGTTAAGCAAATGCCACCACAGGAACGTAACAATGTGCAATATGCTTCGGAAGAGCAACATAAGCGGCGATGAATCGAGGTAAAACTTCCGTGAAGTTGTACCGAGGCGATGTCGGCGACGTACTTTCCACGTCTATTAATCGTTATCTGACACGTACAGCGGGACAACACTGCTTCTGGAACTGGACGACATAATGGGCTTGGATATCTCTTACAAACCCGGCGATCATCTGGGGGTGTTTGCGTGCAATCGAACGGAACTCGTGGAGAGAATACTACAACGTGTACAGTCCACTTTCGACGCCGACACGCCGATTGAATTGCAAATGCAAAAGCAAGCACACACACCCAACGGTACAGGCCTAAAATGAATATTCGTTCTCTTTCTCTTCTCTTGCTGTTACCAGCAAGTAACGGAAGATTCTCTTCAGGTATCGTGAAAACGTGGATACCTCATGACAGATATCTACCGAACTCCTTCAGAATGCTGCTCACTCGATTTTTGGACATTACGACGCCACCCACGCCGAATCTGTTGAGATATTTCGCTTCGGTAGCCACAAACGCGAAAGAACGGGCGCAGCTTGAACTTCTGGCCTCTGTAAATATGTAAATACGTAAATATGTGAACGGTAGCTGTTTTACGAAAAGCATCAAAATCTCCAACGATGTTAAATCGATGAGAAATTCAGATTTGAAGTTGAAAGATGTTTCTGAAAGTATTTTTTTTGTTTGTTGATTATAAATTATTACTTACTTACAGACCCATTAAAGAGATTATATTCAATTTTCTTTTATATTAATTCGCAATTAAAATACATTTGAATTCCAATTTCAAAGGGACAGCCTGGGAGAAAAACTTGAAAGGATTTCGAAGTTGAAGAATATTTGTAGATATAGTAATAATAATTGTAGATGTTATGATAATAATAATAACTTACAAATAGGGATCCAAGCGCTTGTATATATATGATAATCTGTAAAAAAAATATGAAAAGATGAGATCTGTAGAAAAATCGAAAGATTCTCTTCGAAACCAGGATCCGGCAGCTTATGAGGATTGGAGACACTGGAAGTTCCCCAATTTGGCCGAAGTGTTGGACGAGTTTCCATCCGTGACTCCGTTCGCTCCGTTGCTTCTGCTTCACCTGACACCCTTGCAACCGAGATTCTACAGCATCTCGTCATCTCCGTGCGTGCACCGAGGACAGATACACCTGACAGTCGCAGTGGTGCAATACCAAACGCAAGGTATTCATAACAAGAAAAGCCATAGTGTGTTCGTCTATAATTGATATTTATACATACATGTGTAATTTAATAATAAATCCGCATGATCTGATTTCGACGATACAATTTGGCCAAACTAATTCCAGGCGGCTTTGGACCGGTTCATTTCGGTGTTTGCTCTAATTATCTGCAGAAAATATCCGACGGCGAACTGCTGTATGTATTTGTGCGAAGGTGAGCGACGTCAATTCAGCTAATTAAATTATATGAGACATTTTCTCGTCGAATATAATTGTCGATTTGCGTTTAAGCGCGCCAAACTTCTACATGCCGACGGAGACTGAAGCGCCGATGATATTGGTGGGACCGGGTACTGGAATTGCTCCTTTCCGTGGCTTCTGGCATCACCGGCTCGCCCAGATGAAACTTCAGCAGGGTATAAACATTTCTCTCACATGTACTCGCTTATGCTTTACCTGATGCAAGATAAGTGCCCGACAAACTCTCGTCAAATTTCAGTGATATATTTCCAGTAAAAATTTAATTTAATTTCTTCAATTTTTATAATCCTTTTTTTATTGATTTCTAATGGAAATTTGACCCTATGACCTCTTTAATTGGTGTTATTCTATATTTTTTACGATTCCCTTAATTCCCACATTAAGTTTTTGCTCAAAATTCAGCTAAAACTGAATAGTATTTTATTTAAGCGAGCCTGGATAGTATCTGTGCATTTACATCTGTGATACCTAAGATAAATTCAAAATTCATCAATTATGCTCTTTTTTTCAACGGCATCGTAAATATCATCGATACTATGCCTAAGCCAACCAGGAAAACTTGAAACGAGAGATTCGAGATGGAAAACTCTAAACGACCCTTCGATATGTAACATTTGCAGACCAAACATTCGGCAAAGTTTGGCTGTTCTTTGGCTGCCGCCAAAGAAGTTTGGACCTATATAGACAAGAGAAGAAAGAAATGTTGGAGACTGGCGTTTTGAACAAGGTGTTTTTAGCGCTATCCCGAGAACCTGGTCTCAAGAAGGTACGTTAACGTACGCTTTACGTTAACATACACACTATACCAAGTAACAAAGTATCGTACAAAAGGATGGAGATCCTTAAACTTGCAATTCTCTTGAATTTTAGACCTATGTGCAAGATTTCATCCAAGCGGAGACCCTTCAGATTTACACAATGTTGGTGCACGAGCGCGGCCACTTCTACGTTTGCGGGGATTGCACAATGGCGGAGGACGTTTATCAGACCTTGAAGCACATTATACAAACGCACGGCCAAATGACGGACAAAGAGGTCGAAGCGTACATGTTATCACTCCGGGTAAATTATTATCCATGTGCTACTTTCTCTTCTCGTTCGCAATTTATATAACTCTCTTTTATTGTATCATATAAATACGTGTCAGAACTATCACAACTTTCATATAAATCAAATTTAACTTACTAGTAAAACTATTAGCAGTGTCTTCCTTCAATATTAAAATGCGCTTCTAATATATTGTGATATAAATCAAAGAGATAGGTATCTGTAAGTACTTAATCACAGGTTTAGAGGGTAAAATACCTCTTTGAGAAAATCGGCTTTTGTGTGCTCGGAAAAAATATTGTTGAAATAGTGTCTTCAATATCCCATCAAAGTGTAAAATTATATATTGATTTTGATACGAGTTCTTTTTCTAGGATGAGAATCGTTACCACGAAGATATATTTGGCATAACGTTACGCACAGCTGAGGTGCACAATCGGTCGCGGGAGACCGCCAGAATTCGGATGGCCGCCGAACCATAAAAATACCAGACTGACACAGAGAGCGTAGGGTCCGAGTGATGATTACTCGCACTTCATGAAGGGTTGCTGTTCGTATTAATAATTGTGACATCGTGTGCGGGAAAACTCCATTTATTTACAAGCAGAGCGTGACCGATCCTTCAGTTTTGTTTCGTCCGCCATTCTCGTAGATCCGTACATCATCGATCGTAATGAAATATCACATCGGGATTATCACGTTCGCTGTACCGTAGTAACACGCAACGCATACAAGGATATAGAAGCCATTAATTCTACCTGGTTCTTCTTAAACACGGAGATACACACCGTTCAGCTAAGACTGGGCTGCTGTTTCTGGCTGACGTTGGCCAGCAGCTTCTTGATTTCTGCTATCGCTTTGCCGGGATTCAGGCCCTGCGCACAGTGTGTGTGTGTGTGTGTGTGAAGTTAAACATTTTAATTTGTAACATACAGCGTTTCAATCTTCGAAACAAGATCGTCGAGAGAACGAATTTAATCGCGCTGCTGCGATTCGCCGCGAGTAATCTCGCGACTATTTCGCGAGTAAGTTTCCTAAAGATTGCACTGTTCGTCACGATCGCGCGATGTGTTTTTAGTCTTTAAAAAATGTATTCGTCAAGTTCATCGTAAACATAATAATAATAATAGTGCACCAATAAATATAGGCTGCGTTCAGATATCTACCGCCACTTACTGAAAATTTATAGTTCATGTTGTGTGTACTACGTAGATTTTCGGTTCATCGGCGGTGAACATCGGACGCGGTGATAGACTGTACTTTGAATGTTCGCAAATACGGATAATTTCAGGTGAGTTCTCTCGAGAACAACTGAACTGTTCACCGAGAGTGACGCAAATGTAAAACAATGTAACAAGAGTAGAGAAAAAAAAAGCAGAAATTGCTGTATATCGCAAGACGATTTATTTCGAGCATCTTCTGTTACCAATAAAAATTAGAGCGGGAACTTACCTTCGGACAAGTACGTGTGCAATTCATGATCGTATGACAGCGGAAAACTGAAAACGGATCCTTCAGTTTCTCCAGACGCTCCTTTGTCTGAGTATCCCGCGAGTCGATGATCCACCTGTAGGCCTAACGAGTACGACAATGGTTGAGAAACTTGGGAAGAGAAATATAGTACAAATGAGGATTCTGCGAGACCGAGCTGAGTATAATCGATCGAAATTATATACACGTTTCAGTACGAAAGGTGCTTCACATTCAAATGAAGTGAGTATCGTTAGTTACTTCGTCATCTTAGAGGTACTAATGTATCTAATTCCTTCCGAAAAAAGGCAATTCTATGTATGTTCAACTTTATGTTCTGCTCGTTCTTAAAGGGGACTTTTCTCATTCGTGCCGTTTCTCTTCTTATTAGCGATCGATTATTCTGCTGCACGATATTGTATCTGAAGCAATGTGCAAGCATTACGGCGCGCTTACTTGCATAAGTACCGCAGGGCCTAAATACTTATCGCCGTTCCACCAGTAAGACGGGCAAGAAGTACTGCAGCAAGCACAGAGAATGCATTCGTAGAGACCATCCTGTTTTGCGGAAAAATTCAATTATATATTCAGTTTGAACTAAGAGGAATATATGATTGTGACTGAAAATATCGGAAGAAATATTGTGAGGTTTAATAAACATGACGATAAACTCGGCTCAAACTTACCAGCTTTTTTCGATCTTCTATGCTCTGCAAGTGCTGTTGCTTGCCCGTTTCCTTTGCACCCGTATGTTGCAGCCAGGGCTGTATATTGCGATACTGAGTGTAGAAATTATTTAAATCCGGCACTAAATCCTTGACAATGTACATGTGTGGTAAAGGATAGACTTTACACGATGTACTTGTGCTTGGATCGATTTTGCTGAAACATGTAATTATTTCATTGACTGATATATATATATATATATATATATATATTATATTATATATATATATATATGGTAATCAATATTATATATATATATATGGTAATCAATATTATATATATATATATATGGTAATCAATATACCAGTAATATATAATCACTCTGATATAACTTTAATATTCTAGAAATAGACTACATATGGTACATAAATTGTGAAAACAGAGTTATAAATTACATTGTCAAGATAATCTCAAGCAATAGTAACATGTGCAATATATCACCTGATACATGCCAATGTGTTTGTTCCCCCAATATTCATAGCACAGGAACCACAAATACCTTCACGGCAAGAACGTCGGAATGTCAAGGTTGGATCCATCTCATTTTTAATTTTAATCAGCGCATCCAATACCATAGGACCACAACTAAAATTGGAATTTTGTTAAAATTAATGAAATGTGTAACGATGATTTTAAAAATAGATTTGAGAATTATATTTAATCCTGCCGATGATACCTACCTGTTCAGATCAATTTTATATTTTTGCATGTATGGTTTCTCATCAGGTTTGTCTGGATTCCAACGGTAAATCGAGAAGGTCTTGAGTCTAGCTTCAGCATTTTGAACTGCCCCAGTATGCAAGGCCCTAACCTGTAAGATTTTTCATCGTGATATTCGTGCCTAAATTAAAAACGTAACAAATAAATCACGTACGTCTTAATTTCATAGTTTACTCGATTTATACAATATATAAAAAAATTATTTCTTCCCGATTAGGTAAATAAATTGTTCACTTGGCAAATTTTTCTTTATTAAATTTTATTTAAGTGAACAACAACTATTGAACATGATTAAATTGAATTGATTAAAACTGATATTCATATAGGATTTTGCATTTAAAAATATTGTGTGATTTTAAGATGCTACAGAACTGTTTCTTTGGCTGTACAGCAACTGAGACCATCTTAAGCAAGCTTAGATGAAACAATCAAAATAAGGTTAAGCGGTTTTATCGGCTTTAATACTAATGCCCCGCCTTCCGTTTACATTTCACTACTTTAATTAAAGTAATTACCATATGTGACATCTTTTATCATGTGACCATTCAAGTTATCGTTGTTATCATATATAAAATTAGGTTACGAAGAAACCAGAAACTGGTTTAAGAAACTTTTCCTTTTCTCAAGTGCTATTATTTTTGGCCTCATTTATAACACGAACTGTCACAAACTGTATTGAAATTGGGTTAAATTATATAATTTTCTATCTTTATCCTTAAAAAAACAATAAACTTTAAAAAAAAAATTGTTAGAATACCGTGTTGAATAAAACTACATTGCATTTGTCAAGCGATTTTATTATGTCTTTGTTAATTTTTGTTTGTTGCGTTAAATATAAATTACGATCTCTTTCAAAGTATCAAAATTCATAGAAAAGCGACAGCAAGTGTTACGTTCGAACATTCGTATTCATATCATCGCTACAATGTCGACAATTGTCCACATTGCATACGGGCAAAATAAACGATTGAAATGAAAAATTAGCATTTTTAATCATTAATAATTTCTCCCAATCTTGAAAGAACTCACTTGACGAAACGCATTTCTGCAGGCGCACGAAGTAATCGCAGCCATCTTTGCAAGAACTAGGCGAAAGAGGGGTGCAGAAAGTGCACTCGGCGAGGAACAGATATTTCTCTATCATGCATGTCACGTTGGTACGTGGTCGCGCGCGAGCTGTCATGTGGACTCGTGCGGACGTGTCCGCCGTTGCAATCTGTTGACGCGCCAGAACGAGCGCTGCTGGTCGTCGCGGTGCGAGACGGTCGGGAGTAGAGACGCGCACATGGTGAAGGCTGAGAGGATGCGATGCCAGCACGTAGACGGCACGTCCTAGGGCTCGAGGTAGATCGCGAGTCTGTCACGGCGAACACGGGGAGTGACTCGCCAGCGCGACAATATCGTCACGATGACGACGCGAGCGGCGGACTATTGAGCGGGACCGTCTCGGGCAAACAATCGCGGAATACCAGTACGACGACAATGACGTCTCGCGACCGGACCAACGAGTTCGTCAACACGATCCGCTCGATGCAGAGCAGATCCGCCGCGCGGACCGCCGCCGTCGGCGCGACCATGCAGAATCCTCGTCGCGCGCGCCAGTTGCAGAGCTACTCCAACTTCATGATGACAGCCAAGAACATCGGCAAAAATATCGCCAGTACTTACACCAAGCTGGAGAAGCTTGCTCTGTGTGAGTGTAGTCCGAATGTTGTATCAATCACCGACTGAGCTTGGCTCGCTCGTTTGCGACAGCTTGTATGTAAAGTTGTCCACAAACCACTGATCTCTATTTTTCTCGCGATGGAATTTGCACTGTTTTTTTTTTTGCTACTTGAGACAACAGGATTCTTGTGTGGAAGAATGATGAACATAATAGAGAGATGCTAGAATCCTTATGCTTATGTAAAGGCTGTAAGAAATATGTACCAATTAGTGTTGTGTGTTGCAGTGGCCAAAAAGAAGTCTATATTTAATGACAGACAAATGGAGATTGAGGAGCTCACTAATATCATAAAAACGGACCTGAAAAGCTTGAATATTCAAATTGGGAAGCTACAAGAGCTGGGAAAATCCCAGAGAGAGGGCTTCGGACATTCTCAGAGCCATCACATCGCTTCGCATTCTTCCTCGATTGTGATGGCACTGCAATCAAAGCTGGCGAATATGTCCACTAATTTCAAAAACGTCTTAGAAGTACGATCTGAGGTATGTGTTTTAAAACATATCTAAAGTATTTTTCTCTCTTTTTTTTAGAAATTATCGTTATGCAAGATACTTCAGCATAATATTAATTAACCTATATTTTCTCAAAGATAAGGAAAATATACGGTATAACATTATATGGTTATGTAGGTCGTCGTACATATTTTTAATCTCTTTTATCGAGCTTCACTAATATCTCATTGAAGGAACTATAAAACTATAAATATTGTAAAGAATAATGGTAATGAGTACAATATCTTGGATCCTAGTAATAAATAAACAAATTGTTGGATACAGAATATGAGAGAGGAGCAAAGCAGAAGACAGCAATTTACTCAAGGCTCTCTATCGACAATGCTCCCTCCGAGTGTGGTCTCAGGGAGACAGGGTTCTCTGTTACTACAGGAAGAGGCAAACAATGCAGTCGCGATAGACTTGGAACCAGCAATGAATCGTCAATTAATGCAGCAAGCTATGCAAGATGATACTGTAAGTGGTTTAATGATGATACTGGTTGTATCTGTAACTGAAATAATTCACAACGTAGAATAACAAATGCATGAATTTGACTTTTTAAAGGATGCCTACGTTCAGTCGAGAGCTGAAACTATGCAGAATATAGAATCCACCATAGTCGAATTAGGTGGCATTTTCCAACAATTGGCGCATATGGTACAAGAACAAGAAGAAATGGTGGAAAGGTAAAAAAAAGTATACTCAACGTAAAAGAAAACGAATTGTTTAAAGGAATTTCTGATTTCTCTCATATTGAGACTTCAGGAAAGCAAAATTCTAATTAAAAAAATATATTAAATTACAGGATAGATAGCAACATAGAGGATACTGAGTTGAATGTGGAAGCTGCACACACTGAAATTTTGAGGTACTTTCAGTCTGTGACAAACAATAGGTGGCTGATGATAAAAATATTCGCGATATTGATATTTTTCTTCATATTTTTCGTAGTGTTTTTGGCATAACACTATCGTGGCAATTATTTATGTTTATAATATTACTTTTTATCATCCATATCTCCGCGCTATTTGTGATAATAAGAAACAATTGCGAAACAAAACGGCGATTTTTACAAAGTTATGACACAAATGTGGTAATGTAAACTAAACGAGAAGGATTCCGTGCATTCCTTATCCTTTTTCCCTGGATTGTGAATATTGTAAGTATTAATTAAGATTCCTAATCTTTCGCAACAAATGTCCTTGTTTGATTACGTCAGAAGCGAGAAAACGCACGCCAAGAATTCTTGCGTTCATATAAATCAAAAGATACAATCGCAAGGTGACATTTGTGATTGATTCAGCACGCATGTCAATTTGTCCGAACACTTTTACTCGGTATATTTAATACTACAACCGTTCACTACACAAACACTTAGTGAGCTTTTGCATTCGTGATTGAGATATTCTTTTAGATCTAAAAATATACTCCAATCAGATGCGAGAGCTTAATGAACAACTGTGGTACTGAATCATTTAACAAATAGTTGCAAAATTAACATTGGTATGAGAAAGGATATTAAGAAAGAAGGTTCCACGTTAAGTTAATTTTGTGACTATTGATTGTTCGAGTAAAAGAATAATGTTCGGAGAATTTTACAAGTGTGCCAAATCGATCGCAAGTGTCATTTTGTAGGTACATCTTTTTATTTGAACGTATAACGTAGGAATGGTACGCGCTTTCTCACTTCTGAGATTCATCAGACAATGATGGTTGCAGCAAGGGAACAGGAGTCTTAAAAGCGGCATTACTTGTACATCGCGACTTGCTGAAAATATAAGATGTATAAAAACGAGATATTTCTATTAGATAAATGAATATATAATTTTCATGTTCGGGGACAAATACAATTTTACAAATAATTTAAGCGAATAACGTTTTACAACGAATATAAGCATTAAAAAAAATGGTTGTTGTCTTTTTTACCGTTTGCATCGTTACAATTTATACGTATGAATTAAGTATATCTTCAACTTAAAATTCAATTACTTTTCACTATAATTTACAAGTTTTTTTCTTAAGCTGAAGTATAATTAATTTTATTAATCTTAATAACATAACTCCAATCACACAAATTATTATAATTTATTTCAGTTCTTAAAGCTATATGTGACAACATTTTGCATTTACGTAACATCGATTATAACAACTTTGTTACAATGTTATATCTAGTAGTATAAATGCAGCTAAAAATTGCCTTTTACGATTACTGAACTACCGTCAGAAAATGATTACACAATCAATTTTTCAATCTAAACATTTGTCATGTTTGCAAGTCGTCAAACAATGGCATTTAATTCCACGTGATAAATATTCATGATCTTTTACTGTTGCGAATGGCATAAGAAGATATATGAAGAATCACATTCGTCTATTTGCGGCAATATGACGAAGTCGATAGTATTGTAATTGGTACGCAATATTAAATGTTTTGATTACTTGCAAGAATGAAAGGCATCACACAAATATTTATGCAGCTATATTCATCGTGTCTTATTTGCCATCGACAGATTAATCTGCAAACATGCTTTTTCTGCTATTGATATGCAATTTTTGCTACTAGAATTTCCAATAATTTCTAGTAACTTTTATATTCGGCCAACAACTCTGTCCGAAATTTATCGTGGATACAAGGTTTAAAGAAAAAATACGACTTGATGGTGTGCAGGTAGAACGAATGAATCTGGATAAAAAGTCAATATATATTTATACATATATGTATATACGGTGATACATATACATATATACATACATACACATATATGTGCTAAAATATATTTACTTTTCCTATTGACGGAAACGTCAATCCGACGCATACATATTACGTTCAAGATACATACAGAAAGAGAAGGGGAGAGAGAGAGAGAGAGAGAAAGAGGAAAAAATATATTCTCATACCATGGTTATGAGACAAGATTTCTCCCTTACCCTGGCTACATAATAGTATTACATATATAGCCCCGCCGTTGAGCACGAGATATCATCATCTGATGCGTCTGCGTACTACGGTCAAAATACATATATTAGGCATCGTCTGTCCTTTCCTTCAGATGGATGGCTCTCTCTTATAGGCAACGTGGGTTTGAGTCTCAGCTGAATGATAAGTCGGTACTGACTTTTGCACACATACGTCCTTTATACTGGTGATTCGTAAAAGCCATTCCACCATAAGATTGTACGTCACTGTCAGGAGAGATATTGAGGAGAGTACTTATATATCACAGGTAGCGAGAAATACATACAGGATGTAATTTAATTTTGCCACGTGATTAATAATTTACCACCTTGTTCGTGGAATAATCAGGATAACCTCTTGAGGAGTGACTAATGAGAATTTATTCCTTCTTTGCAGATCAGACTTTGTGGCCGGATCCTTTTTATAGCAGCTTCTTGGTTACTATTATTTATTGTTTCAATAGTGAAACATGATATCTCTTGTTAAAGAGGAAGACAAGGTTCTTGTGGTATTTGGAGATGAAATATGCATTGATGATACTGTGGATTTTGTTGCTGCCATTGGAAAACATATCGGAGATCTTGGCAAATTACTAACTACGACTTTGTCGAATCTGAAAAAAAGTAAGCTCTTTTCTGTGAGCTGTTGTATGAAATAATAGCTACAAAATTTTTGCAATACTTGTTATGTGAAACTATGAACAAAACACATCTACGTCTTTCTTATTATTTCAGAAAATTACAGTGCCTCTACTCTTAATGTCGCTGTTGCTATTTTGAAACAACCATGCGCAAATGATGAATTTCTTGCGGAGACTTTAAGGATTTTGAAACCTGATGGTTTCTTCGTCATCTATGAACCACTAAAAATAACTAAACAGACAGATGCAATACTTACATATCCTGAAAGAATATCTAGACTAAAGCTTTCTGGTTTTAAAGTAAAAGATACAGAACGGGAGAGCTTAGATGCAGATATAGAAAATAAGGATCTCTTGAAGAAAGTATATAATAACATAGAAGATATCTGCAAAGTTATAGCGAATAAACCTCCATTCGAGGTAAGCTGATTTCCTTATGTATTCGTACAATTTGTTTAAGTATATATATATAATTAATATATATAATTAATAACATCTGAGAGACGTCTTTCTTCTTGCTCACTTAGGTAGGTTCTAGCGTTCCACTAAATTTTGCTAAGGGAAATACTTCATCTGCAAAAAAGGAGAATGCTGTATGGACATTGGATAATCTTGTAGATGAAGATTTGATAGATGAGGATGAACTTTTAGATGAGGCAGATTTAATAAAGCCGGATGCATCATCATTAAAAGGTGAGTTTAAATATTTTTATTTCATATCAATAGACAAGGAGAATTTGTGCAAATCTATACAAATTACATAAAATTTTGCCATTTTACAGTCTGTAGCACAACTGGCAAACGAAAGGCATGCAAGAACTGTTCATGCGGACTTGCGGAAGAATTAAGTGGTAAAGCATCACAGGAAACCACTGTTAAATCCTCTTGTGGAAATGTAAGTTTTATTTTACTGTCACTGTCTTGGCTGATATTCACATACATTAGATAACTGTTCAATTATATTCCGGATATAGACTAAATTTCTAGAATAAGAGTTTTCCTAGGTAATAATTCAGTAAATTAGAAGAGAAACATTTTATGACCCTTAAAGTATTAGTTAATTAATGTTCTTAGTACATATACAGTACACATTATGTTGAAGTGTTTGCAAATTTTAAAATTTCTACATGTAAAAGTAAAGGAACCTCTATTAATAATATTAACTTTTATTATTTTTGTAGTGTTACCTTGGAGATGCGTTCAGATGCGCCAGTTGTCCTTATCTTGGGATGCCTGCCTTTAAACCTGGCGAGAAAGTAATTTTGCCGGAGACACAGTTAAGCGTTGATTCTTGAACAGTGCTCTTTTTCCGATGATGAATTTATCGATTATAGATATTTATCGTTTATAGATTACATTATGATTCGCACAATAGTAAATTGCATTTTGATTTGTATGAATGACAGTAAATTGCAATTATATTTTTATTTACACAAGTAACGATTACTCGCGGTTTTCAGTACGTGATATATATCGTTTTATTAATTTCACTTTAAAAGTACTTTCCTCTAGTATGTAAGACGATATAGTAATTATTGTCCTTTAAATAAATGGTACTTAATTTATTGTTTCTGCTCCAATTCTTTATATTGTCTTCTCCAACGATGAGATAAATTACAACACATTGGTAATAAGAGATGATCCGTTTTATTTCACTTTTATCTGTATACAATAGCAACCAGCATATTATAACCATTGCAAAAGGATGCAAAATATGCAGTACGTTACCGAAATCGCGTTAGACATGTCTTGGATCGTTCGACCGCATGATCGAACGATTTAAGCATAATCTCAACAACAATAAAATTTAAGATTAATTTTATCCTGAAAATGTATTATCTTTAAGAAAGATATATAATCATCGAATATTCAAAACAATTGATCTGTGTTACGGGATAACGCAGATCAATCTGGAAAAAAATGCAGCGTATTTTAACTATTTCCACGAATTACATATAACGTAAGATATAGTTAAGAATATGCAATTGAGCCTGAATCTAAACACAATTCAGATTATCAATCAATAATTTGAGAATGCGCTATATATGACGAAAAATTTCTCGAGAAAATTTTGAAAGCTCGATTTACAATAACACAACGTGTTCAGACGTATTGCATATTGTGCATCGTTGTAGTATTTATATCTTAGGAATATAACCCTTTCACCATAAATCCACTATCCCATCTCTGGGGATGAGTGTGCGGGAGAGGGCTATTTTCCAAACACAAATATTTTTTATGATACGTGTGTGTATACATATATATATATATATATATAATATGTATATATATATATACATATAATTATATAATTTTATACATATATATATAGCTCGGCAAATATCGCAAACGTTTAGTACAAAATTATATACGTTAGATTTAAAAACCAAAGAGACGATGACGATTTAAGTAGTATCTATCGTATACAGGAACAAAAAAGTATCGTCATGTATATTGCGAATGATTTGTTTGTCACGACGACAGGAACATTCTTCCGTATTATAAAGAATAACGTAAACCTCATAAACATATAATCAATGAACAACATGGTAATTATCGGTTTGCTTCCCTGCGCGACATGAGATTAAAATTAAGTAATAAATTTCTCTCTCTCTCTCTCTCTCTTACTGTGGTGCCATTTTTCCATACAACATTGCAACTGATCAAACCCATCGACTCAACGTATGACAATTCTCGCAAACCAATAATTGTACTATGTTCTCTCCGCTACGATTAAAAACAACTTTGGTGTACATAAAAATTATATACGCGTTAACTGCTAACTGCATTAAGATTGGTTCAAATGTATGTACGGTTGAGGGAAATAAAGTTTACGATCGTTCATCTGAACGCGTTCACTGCCACGCTGGTCTCCATGGATTGTCTCCGGAGTAAGTACATACTTTTACCGATGTGTATATTTGTCAGTTGGTCTCATCAGCTCCCTATTGGGCCGCATATCCAGCTCGTTAGCTGTAATTAGTGCTTTATGCGCGAATCGACGAGATGATGCGGCACAATCGTGAACCCGGTCGCTCCCTATGGCAGTCAACGTGTTAAGGACAGCTTGAACTGAAATCGATTTCACACCGCGCCATCCATCTCGCCCGCGGTGGACCGTCGTGATTCGAACGTGACACTTTTACCAGTGAAATTGGTGGGGTTCGAGAAATAAAATTGGCGGATAATCCTCGCGCTTTCGCAACGGAGTAAAAAAGTTCGGAAGAGAAACAGAAGACTGAAAAATCTCCCTCCCCGCCCAGGGTCAGAGGATCGTGAACAATCTGATCGGTGGATCGCCGCGAAGGATCACCGTGCGCGGAAGTGGCGATCCTCGAGATTAGAATCCTGTTTGGAAACCAGCAGTGTGGAACATCGATTACTGATTGTACATAAATAATACACGGTAAGTACGTAGATACGTCGGAAAGTCGTCGCAAAGGTGCGCGGATTGTCGCGCTTCTTGTTTGCGTTCAGCGCGACTTGTCGCTCCGGTGAACGAGATATCTAAGATCCGACAGTGCGGATCGCGCACATTGTAACTCTGAACGTTCGGCAATGTTTCCCTACTTTGTTTAGCATACACCTCATGATAGCATGTACATATGTTATACAAGGCGTGCCGCTTGTCATCGCGAGCACCTACCGGCTATCTCTCTCCGTCGCTCTCGACGAATGCGGAGAAATGTCTGAAGAAGATTAGCTGCCGATTCGAGATCATTTGTATCTATTAAGGTGAAACTGCCGCTTGATTTCCGTCACGGCCGTCGAGCGACCAGTGTCGAGAGATACGCAGGGTGTTCGCGATGCGACGCGGGACAGGATGATGTATAGAGTGATATACAAAGTGTGATATAGGGTGAGGCGTTTAAAACGGATGAAATAGAGCTGTGCGAGTCTCGAACAGACTTGGTTCGAAACGGCCCTGGTCCTCGCACGTTATGAGGACGTTACGCGTAAGTAGGCAGTCCGTTTGAAACGCCTCATCCTGTACACACACACACATATATATATATATATATATATATATATATATTTGTGTATTGTACTCGGTGTGATCAAATGTATCAATGATAGAGAATGGTGGTACGGGAATACGAAGCGAACTCGTTAAGGCCCGTGTTTCTAGTTATGTAATTTTACGAATCCACAGTGTCTGTGTGTGTGTGCGTCGTCACTTGAAACTCTCGTCTCACGAGGGGGTCAAGCGACGAATGCGGGCCTAAGAATGGAATCAAAAGCGCGCTGATCGAGATACGAGACTTGGCGCGATCGAGAAGCAAGATCGAGCTCGTCGTGATCGGAGAATTACCGGATTATGACTTGCGCGATTAATGACCACGTTTACCTAAGACCGGTCTTTATTAGTAACATCCGTAATCTGCGTTTACACGAACAGAATGAGGACCGAATCGATCGTTTCCGCTGTTACAACCGTCGATGTTACATGTCGTACGAACAATTACGTCTTAACTATCACTGCAGCTGCATTCCGATATTCGCTGCCATATTGAAAATCTGTAGTATACGTGAACAAGAACTGTAGGTTTTCAGTATCGGTGGTGAACATTGGAACGTAGCCCATACGACACGTGCAGCACTAGCAAGTCGCAATGTCGAGAATGATCAAATCGATTTTCCGCCAGTGCGAACGTAGATCTGCGTTACGGGTGTTACCAAGACGATTTCAGGCTATCGTATAGATGTAGTTTATGATAATGAAACCAATGATAATTCCATATCTATGTGCACTGTAAAGTCCGTTGACGGTTGACTCAGTCGACAGTGTTATATACGAGAACGGAAACTATTTGTCACCGTCGCGATCTAAATTTCTTCAGGAATGTACTCAACGGTACTTTGAGCAACGATTAGAATTACCGCTTAAGGCAACTTTTGCGCACCCCGTGACCGCGATCGCCACACGTTTTCCTTTTTATCCTTTACTTCTTGCTCTCTCTTTCTCTCTCTCTCTCTCTCTCTGTCGTTCTCACTCCAAATTGTTTCAGCACGAGTGAGAGTTCCCTTCAACCAACACAGCGATTCTATGTTAAGAGAAATGAACGGGACGAGATGAATATATATAAGGAAGCTTCTGGGAGAAATTTTTCCACGTCAGAGAGCTTGTAGTGTGTTGTTGTTCGATAGCTACTTCTACGTGATGGAAAGATTTCTAAGCACCGCGCACGCGTTCCCTTTCGCTTGTTACATCCGTAGAACATTAGATCAGGCGCCGGAGAAGAAGCTATATATTATAAATTGTTCGTTTCTTTTTCAGTCCTCGGTACTGCTGTTTTCTCGGCGCGGTCATCTTGATTAGCGATATTGGAAATATGAGAAAATGACACGCTCATAATTCTTGCAAAATACATTGAAAGTAAAAAGATATTTCTTCAGAACGTCCCACAAATTTGCCTAATTACCGATCGCAAGTGTTATTTTGCTAACGTATTTGTTTTATCATTTCATGTATTTTGACCGTGAATTTTCTCGCTTTCGACTTTATCGATCAAAATGGCCGTGGCGAGGGATCAGTAGCGTTAATACCGGCAGTCTTCGGATTCGTAAACATTTCAGCACCAATCATTTCAAAATTCTCATTAAAAAAGTCTCAACGTTCTCTCATTCGTTAAAATAATCGATACAATTAATAGAATATATGTGCGCTCATGGGCAGAATAGTCGCATATCCGTGGAATTTCGAAACATATTTCGCATCCAATGGAAAAATGTGTCTCCCTGCAAATTACTAAAAAACAAATTCTCTTATTAGACACAGAATGCGCTGCGAAATTCATCGGAAACAGTGTTACAACTATTCTGCCCATGACTTTCTACGTGCATGCACTTGACTGAACGTTTCAAAATGCTAAAACTTCTAAAATCGAAGCTAAAAGTTGAAGAGATGCGTTTTTGCTTTCAAGGTATAAAGATATATATCTTCTCGACACGGCGATACGATATCGAAAGTTCGGAACGTTGCATTGTCACATATCTCGTAATTTGCTAGGCTCACAATTTCGCGAAATTCTCTAAACCGATTCAACTGTGTCATCGTTATACATTTAATGGAACTTTCGAGAAAGTTCACAGGTATCGCATATGACAATTTTTTAATTATAAATAATTCTAATTTTGATATCGTAATACTTTATAATCACAATTATATATTATTATAAGAGAATTTATAATAATATATACTGCGATTAGAAATGATTCGCGCTCTTAAATTGTAATCGCGCGCTCGAAAACTTCAACGATTGTCACAAGGTTCATGCCGCGACAATGACGTAAATTACAGCCGACGGACGTAATGCAAATTTACGAAAGCGTTTCGTAAGTACGGCCAAAAAATCCTCGGCTCGGCTTTGTGCGGCGTCGAGAGCGAGCGAAAGGAATCGCGCATCCAGCGGTCCCTTGAGAAAACGCAAAAGCACTTGGCGCGTCGTATCGCTGAAAAATATTGACGTCCAACGGGCGTCCAACGAAATCGCACGATAAAGATTTAATATGACTACTAATTAATTACTGGTTCTATTAACACAGCCCTACTTATATGACATAATATGAAACAGGACTTCCTAAGAAGAGGCTTTGGCTTCCTTTCTCGTGACGGAGCGAAAGTAATCGTCGTCGACACGGCGGCGCGTGTCCGAAATAACGCGCGGCTACTTTCGAACTCCGGATGGAGAAGTAACTATGGGTAGAATCCGCCGCAGTACATACACAGAGAGGTCGGAGGATCCCGCGAGTACTAGTTCCGCGAGTGGCTCGCGGCGGTGCCGCGGAGTCCGCAGAATTTTCGCCATTTCATACGACGAGAGATTAGCTTGTGCTAGCACGAATTCCCCTCCATGTTATCCAACAAGGAATTCTTCTCCTCTTTTTTCGAGCTATTGCTCCTCGGCACCATGGTGCACAATTTCGGTTCGAAACACGGCTGCAAAAGAAACATCGTACCGTTATCCACCGTTGCGGGAATGGTCGTCCCGCAAAATCGGCCGAATCGAATTTAGAGAGAGAAAAAACAAAGGCGAGGACGAAAAGCGCTGTTGTCGTGCGATTAAGCGTGCGGAGGGAGATTGCGAGTTCCAATTTCACTGACCGTTAAATGAGAAACGTCGGCGACGAGACGGAGAAGCCTTGGCATTAATTCGAAACGTTGACATTGCGATTGTTCGGGGGATCTAGCGCGAGCGCATTAACGATGTTCGTAAAGCTGTCAAAGATAGGCTGATCCAACCTTTGCCTTCTTTAATTGCCCGAGATAACGACTCGACCGACTCGCGACTCCACTTTTTTCCCTTCGCCCCCTCCCGCACCGGCCGGCAGATTGCATTTAACGGTCTCGCAAAAGTATTTTCGTCCGGCCGATCGCGCGTCAGATCGGTAATAATGATTTCACAAAACTGTTGAGTGTTAAAATTATCGTGCCGAAAATAAACTTACGTTGAATTTGATTCACACTGACCATGCCTAGCCGAACGCGCTCTCGCGATTAACCGCGATTAATCATCAAGCGCCACCGGAGAAAAACAACGTACAAGAAGCGATAACATTTAATAAGCGATGTTTGCAAAAATCCGCTGCAAATAGTGATGTTATGCGCGACATGTAGGCGCACTAAGCAACCCACGTGTCGATCGTGCGAGATTGCGCAACGTCGTCGTGCGTATTAATGCGTTTTGATTAATCGTGCGAATAATGCGCGCACCTCGTGTTAAAGAGATATTTAATAAAGAATATGAATAGGGATATTTATATATATATAATATTGGCGCAATACTGACAGGAGAGCCATCACTTGGAAACGAGCTAGGTGATGCAATCATTGGGTTACCAATAACGAGTTTCTCTTTTTCCAAGGCTAATACATGCGAGTAACTTAAAAGAGTCTTAAATGTTTTTTTTAAAGAGCGTCTCGCAGGAGTACGAGGTAATTGGGTGAACTTATCGCGAGCACTCGCAAGCACACAAAACCCAAGCGATGGTCCCGTATGAGAGAGCACAGTCTCGAGAAACGTTCCCATGTGTGTAGGAAAACAACACGACGCATTGATCGCGTTTTTCGATTTGAGATTAACGTGTCGTGAGATAACGCTCGAGTGTTAGTTAAACCAATGAAGCTCCTCTTAATAATTAACTACGCAAATAATTATATAAAAGCCACCTGAGGCGATCTACAATTCCCGGATTTCATGATTTCTCTCGTACACTGTGTAATACGAAGGAATTTTGAAAATGCACAGAAAACATATGTGTGTGTATATGTACAGGGTGTTTTCAGTACGATGGTGTAACACACGATGATGTAACGCACGATTTTTAGAACCTTTCCGATAGAAAAAATTGAAAGATGAATATTCACCCGTTAAATGCGAATTTGCAATAAAATAATCGGGAAAAATTTTATAAAAATCAAAGCCACCTTGAATTTTTTAAATGACACTGTGCAATTTTTCCATACTATTGTATTTTGCAAATTTCACATTAAATATCGATAAAAGCGACAAGTCCCGATAGTACGTTGAATTCATCTTAACACATTGTTGATCGGTCACGAGTTAACTCGTGTCTTCCTGCTCAAGTGTTGCTGACCAGCCACGAGTAAACTCGTGATCGATGCAAGGTACATTTGCGCGATCGAAACAAGATACATTTGTAAAACCTGGGTGTACCATTACACGTAGGTGATTGCTACACCGTTTATCATACCAAAAAGAAATATTAAAAGTTAAATATTAAATAAAATTTATTGAAGTTTATTTATATTGTTTCACCTCCACATCCAATTACGAAATAATAGCCGATGACATGAGATAAATTCTAAATAAAATTGCCGGTCAACAATGTGTCCAAAAAGTACTAGGAACTTTGGTTTAAAATTGATTTTTAAATAAAAATGTTATGATAATTATTAAAAAACAATTTTTTTAATATTACCTGAAATGCATCCTATTTTACGATTTTTAAAAAATTCGTACAAATTTATTTTCAAATAAAAAAAGTTATGATAATTATTAAAAAAACATAATTTTTTTCAATAATACCTAAAATGCGTCCTATTTTACAATTTCTGAAAGTTTGACAAACATTGCTTCATCAATAAAAATATTATGACGATTTTAGTAACATGCAAGTTTGCCCAAAAACGTGCGGTCCCAGGTGTATGTCTTACAGATTTCTTAGCGGTCTGCAATGTGATAAAGTCCTCTATAATATTATGAAAAAAAATTCATGGTGCCACTTGGAAAATTCAAGATGATCTTAATTTTGTTTACGAAAAAAAAATTATATTTCAACTATTTTGTAGCAAGATATAACTTGTATGAAATTAGATGAATATTCACCTTTCAACTTTTTTAAACTGCCGGAAACGTTCCAAAAATCGTGGATCGTTACGTTGAACACCCTGTATACAGCATATCTGAACTCGACCGACAAACTTACAAGACAGATTCGACATTGAAAAATAAATAGAAAAATTTTAATAAACATATGTTTACACAAGCTTGGTGTTTCAGATATAGCCTTCAGAACGCGACAATAATAAAAAAAAATGCGTCGCGATAAACAGATTAAGAATGCAGATACACAACACTTTGTTGCTTGTTTTTGAAGATAATATCTATCAATTCTGATATTTTTTAAATATAACCGAAAAATCATTTATTGAGACGTTGGTATATTATTACCGTTTGTACAAGTGAAAATGCCATTGATAAGGGAAAAGCAGACATTTTGAGTAATTTTTACGACAGTATGTGTCTAGTTACTGATTTATAAAACACGATTTAATGAATAAAATATATTCTTTTAACTAAGATTGTAGCAGCTATATCTCAGAAACTAAGCATGTGTAGGTATATATTTACTAAAACTTTTGCTTATTTTTTTATGTAGAATCTATCGTGTAAGTTTGTCGGTGGAGTTCAGATACACCCTGTACATATGTTTAATACTACGCATATGCAATTTTACATACATGTGCAATTTTGTAAATGTATATACATATGTCATACATTTTACAAAATGTATATATAAATACGTAATTTTACAAATGAGAGGAATCATTCGTCGAGCACGATTCTTTTGATTTAAAACTTTCGAATATTCCGTCCGATGTGATAAATCGCTTGAAGTAGACTTGAGTGTGAAAAATAAGGCAGTAAAACGTCATGATTTCACTCAAAAACGAGGGTCGCTGACCTCGAGTGATTTGCCGTTGTCTCTTTTTATGGAAACGCTGACAAGCGACGGGACAAGACGACACACGCTATCAATGCCGTGCGATGTTATTTAGTGTGCGATATTTCACTCACAGTTTCGCAGATATTCATATTGCAGCAATTCTCTATGGTAATTTCGCACTGATTGTCCGGTATCTGCGGCCGGGACGTAAGGGGTGTTACACCCACGAAGCGCCTCTTCACGCGCGGTTTCTTTCGCAGTATGCCCACATAACAGGTGACCCCGCCGAAAAACAAGAGCGCTACGGTGGCGAGGACGAGGAATATCAGCAGCAGCTTTCTGTACTCCACGTTGTCGCTGAGCTTGACCATCCTCTGGGCCGTTTGCGCGTCGTCCTGCGTGCACCTGTTAATTCAAGATCGATATCGGTGTGTTATCGCATATATGCATAAAGCACGTCTCTCCAAAATCGCTCTGATCCACCGGAGAGAACTCGTCTCGCGAGCTTGGGAGCTTTAGAATCGATACTTCGGAGATACGTGTGCGAACGCACGGGAAAACTTGATTTTTCGCCGACGAGTTCGCGCTTGACGAAGATTGTTTTGACGAAGACTGTTTTGATGAAGAGTGTTTTGAACTTTGCTTGACGGTTATCTTTCAATTACCCGACCGAAGATTGTTGCGTTGTTAGATATTAGATACGAATTGTGCTGGATAAGCAATCTCTCGGTACTTTAACCGCGAAATCACGCGTGTCGTCTATGCGCGCCTGTACCTGCAGGATGTCACGTTGACGTTCGACGATTCGGCGACGTCGTTCGCGCAGTAGATCGCGCAGATCTCCGCGATGTCTTCCGCCTCTTCGCATCGAGTCCCCGTGGAATATTTACAGCTACAATACGGCTCTCCACCTCGGACGGAACATTCGCCATCACGGAGGCAGTATCCGTCGCAGGCGTCCCTCTCGCACCGAGCACCGCTAAATGTGCCCGGACACTCGCACTCGGGAAGCCCGCGATGATTTGTGGTACATTCACCACGAAGGCAGTAGTTATGACAGAGAGAGATCTCGCAAAAGGTTCCGTTGAACCTGGAAGGATTACGCGAGTCATTAATTGAACCATCAGTCGGAAATGTAATCTGACCGATATCTTGGCTGTCGGATCCCCCCGCGTAACGGAGAGTTCAGTTTTACGTCAATTTTATGTCGTGAGTTTACGTCTACGCAATATTTACTAATTATTGCGTTAATGTAAAAGTTCGTTCCATTTCTAATCCAAATGTATATATAATATTTATTTATTTTTAAACACGATCAATTAAGTATGCGCCGTTTTGTTCGATGATCATCTCTCTCCGGTAGCTGAATGATCCCGCAGTCGTAGATCGCGTTCTGGGATTTCTGAGTAAAGAAACTCGTGAAATAAATGGAGAACAAAAACGAGCGCATTTCTTAATAAACCCGATCAAATATTAGCGAAATATATCATGACTATTGGTTTCTGGACATCATACAAACTTCCCGAATGACTCACCCTGGTTTACATCGACACGTGCCGTCCGTTTTATTCAGATGGCCGTCGTTTAGGCAGTATATGGAGCTCTCGGTGGTCAATTCCGATTCCTCCGTGCTGGTGGTCAAGTTGTTGAATGTCTCGTTCGTCAATCGTTGGACAGGCTTCGCGATGTTCATCCGTCTCTTCGTCATCGCCGCGATCGCCGTGCAGTTGATCTTGCCGACGTTGTCGCGCGTGACGATGCCGGCCGGATCGGCGTCCCGCTTGGACTCGTAGTAGGACTTGAACTTAGTTGGATAGTCGCCCTCCTTGGCGTTCTTCGGCATGCTCCAGATCGCGTTATGCACCCAATCGGACCAGTACACCGAATCGCTGTCCACGGCGAGGTAGACCGGCTGCTGACGTTTGTTGTGGACCAACAACTCCCGCTTGCTGCCGTCCAGATTGCTGCGTTCGATCTTGAAATGGATCCCTTCGCCATCGTCGGCCCAGTACAGCTTCTGTTCTGTGTGGTCTATCGTCACTGACAGCGGTTCGTACAGGTTTTCGTTGATGACGATCGTTCGATTGCTCCCGTCGAGATTGGAACGCTCGATACTGGGGCTCGATTTGTTACTGTTCGCCCAGTATATGTGGCTGAAAAAAATCGCAGGGATGTTACCGTCCATTCTTCGACTTCTCTCACGTATGTGACAGAGATTAAAGAAGAGAGAGAAAGAGATGCACAGACATTTATTTTTAACGCGCATCGGTGAAAATGACTGAAGAGATCTTCCCTCTCGAGAGATCAATTATTCCCAAATAAAACCCGCGCTTCTCAATTATCTTTTCGGGAGCGTTTTCGAAGAATCTTCTCTTTCATAGGATATATTTTTTCTTTGTAACACAAAGTGAACGGTAGAGACATTCCAGTAGAGACACCTTTCCTGAGGTCGCTTTAGTTATATCTTAATTTGTCCTTTTTTTTTCAAAGCATCAGTATGTACGCTGACAATACGAGCGCGGGCGAGCGGCAAACAACTAATCCACGTTGACATCAATTTCCGTTCAGCGTTTTTTTTTTCACATTCCGAGTTAGTCTCATATGTCACGTGTAGATGCCGATAGTTTTACTTTTTATTACGCTATCTTATTTATAGTGCAACCGCGCGATCAAAGTTGCATTTTGCCAAACCGGTCTTGCAAATACGACGAAGTAAAGAAACACACGCACAAATGTAACAAATGAGATAAAAAAACAAAGATATACGCCCTCAATTCCGAGAAATCTCTCCATGATTCTTGTCACAATTTTCAACGATTTCTGTTTATATATTTATTCTTTCACCGTCGTTTATGCCATTTTATCGTTGTCGATTAAATTTCCCAGTTTCGAACAGTTTGACCTTTTTTAAACCGTATGAACGGATGAGAGAGATGAGAGAAGGAATCTCTCTCTCTCTCTCTCTCTCTCTCTCTCTCCCTCTGTCTCCTCCCCCTGTGACGTCGCAAGTAGGAAATCATAAATGGCACACCTGTTACACACGTCGAGAGCGATGCCACGCGGATTGCGGCCGGTGAGGTTGTGCAGAACGACAGGGTCGCCCGGTTCACCGTTCACCGGCACGTGCATCTTCGCGATGGTCTCCCTCAAAGCGTCCGCCCAGAACAAAGTGCGCGACGACGCGTCGAAGACGATCCCTATGACGTGCGTACCGTTCTCTTCTGCGTACACGTCACAACGGTTGTGTAACGATAACATTTTTCATAACGTTATATGAGATTTTAAATAATGCATGTTTATCTCGATCTCGCCTTCCGCGCGAGAAAAAGTATGCGAAGGGAAGGACACGCGTAAGATGAAGTTTTATCGTTGATGCGTAAGCAATGTTCCGGTGATGACATTCTAACACTTCTCTTTCCCTTCGGAAAAAAGACGAATTCTTGTCTAGAATTACCGTTAACTCCATGTACTACAAATAGCTTTTCGGCTATGAAACCAGTTTAGTTGAGTTTAAAAGGATATATTGCTCATTAGTGCCATATTTTCAGTGGCATATCAAGGGGACTACATTTTGTATTTATCAAACAAAATTACGTTTCTATATATTTATTTCACTATCTAAATGAATATTAATTTCAAAAGAAATAGAGGTAAGCAAATATACACAATATTACTAATACGAAAACATTATTTTTTATTTTTCTTATTAATGCTATATTTATGCATCAATTGATCTAATAAAGCACAGATAACAGAAAGAGATATATGAGTGTTTAATAAGTGTTTAAATATATGCATATTGTGTGTGTGTGTATGTGTGTTTCGAGTATCACTATAAATTATGCTGCTATATTTTCAAAACAAAATGATCAATTATTCTGAAATGTGTATATAATGTCTACATATTAGCTTTTAATATCATGAAAATTTTTCAAAATCTTATTTTTAATTTAGAAGAAGGAACGCTTATAAAAAGTATCAATTTTAGTTACAAATATCTCAGTTCTCGAATAGTCTTTTTTTTTTAATTACGAATTTTCAATGAGTTCAATAATATATATATATATAGTGCAAGTTTCATCGAATTTTTATCAAACTCAATTTATTTTACAACCTCCTTTAAAGTAGAATAACTTTTGATCCGGGCTCTGTCAAACTTTTGGTGTCACTTTTAAATTCAATGTAGATCGAGAATTTGTAATTTTTTCATAATTTTAAATTATGGGCAGATCTTTAAGCTGACGCGCAAGATATGTCCGGGTTTTGCGAGCTCACTTCATCAAGCAAAAGCACCTTCGTTAACGATAAACTTGGAGTCTTGCGAAATTTCCTGACCCCGTGATTCGGGATCTATTATTTCCTTTCTTCCTTAATTATTACACTTTTTTTCATAACAGAATTTCTCAATCGATGAGTACGCGGAGAAATTTAACAAATGCGAGAAATCGTGCGTGGGAAATTTTATATCTAATTTAATGCGTACGAGAAAAACCGCAGTTTTAAACGAAGAACACTCGGTTACCATTTTTTGTTTATCTTTCAAAACCTCCTTTTAATTGTTACAAATCATTAATACATAAAGATGGTGTTATATTGTTTCTAATTAATAATTAAATCTAGAATGTTGAGTGTGTAACCGAAGCACAAAGAAGTCGTTGAAATATTCATAAACTAAGTCTGTTTGCTAAAGAAATTGCGAATTCCTTCGGATGCTTTACAAGATATACACCGACTGACGTCGCTGGATTTTTTATAATAATCTAAGAATTAATTTACACGTTCTCAGATTACTCACTCTTGAGCAACGGGGTCGATGTAAAGTTCTTGTTGGTGAGATCGTTGCTGAATATGGAAACGTTGTTTCTCGTATCGGACAAGTACATTGTTCGAGTGGTGTCGTCGTACGTTACCCCGGTCAAGGCGACAGCTTCCCCAATGTTGGCCTGACCCGTGAGCGTTTTGTTTTGGGCGAAAAAGTCGATTTCGCTGCCGATGACCACAGCTAAGTCTGTAAAAGGTAGGGCAATGAGAAATCGGCTGTTCAAATTTCACGGTTATCTTCGTAAAATAGACGCGAGAGATTCGTGGAAAGAGCATCGACGCTAATCTAATCTGCAAAACTTGTTTCCGAACTTTTATCTACGGTTAATCGGAAAGCGTTATCCGTATCGTAATTTCCGATTCGTAACGATTTTGATTACATCATACAGCCACGTGCATGTATTTTTAGCTCGAGATTATTATTGATAAAATAATACATAATACATAAGTACATCCATTTATTTACCTATCTATCTATAAAAAATATGTTCAATCGCGCCGATGGAATCTTTGCGGCAACGGCAACGGAGAGACTACGGTCACGCGGAGCGACACTTGAGAGTCCGTTGCGCTTTCCGCGATATTTAGATATCAATCTATTCATTGAATAATCATCAGAATAAATATAGATTAATTGTTCGTAAATGAACTTTTATACTTTACAAAATCGCATTTTGCAGATGAAGAGGACGCATTGTGAGTTTCATTCGTTTCGTCAAATGCCGGATTTAATCGGCTTCGAATCGAAGACTCAAGAGATCACGAAGTCTCGATTGGAACAAAGTTTTAGTGATTTATTATACCATAACGTCCGATATGAAATTTAATTCCTAACGAAGTGCGCAAACATGAGAAAGTTCGAAGAATAATTCGAGACAGAGATGTGAAGAAACAAGGTAAAAAACGATGAATGAACTAAACGCATTCTTCAGTTGCGATTAGGCTTAATGAATAATTCCCGTTTCTATCATCATAATTTAAATTTAATCGACGATCAACTCAACGATCAATCACGTTAATTAGTTCATAGGCCAGTAAGATCGGTCAATTCCGTTGAGTTAATCGTCGATTAAATTTAAACTGACAGAAACGGACATAAGACAAGAGTTAAGAAAAGACGGCGATAATTGAATTAGATGTTTTTCAAATTTGCTTTTTTCCTGTGTCTCCCGTGTGTTCGCTCGGTGAGATATCTCAGCTGCCACGTGTTTGTCTTCCAAACGGAACGCAACCTTGCTGCATTACAAAGCACATTTACGGTTCTGCCGATCTGCGAGCGAGGTTATAACGTATAATCGTGCGATCGTTTGACGTACGCATGAGTATCGCGGAAATTTCTTGGGGAAATACGAGGCAAGATATTTACATGCGAATTATCGCACGATCTAATAAATTGGTGCGCGTAATAAAATCAGCCTTCGGATTATCTGCTAATTGAATTTTTTCTTCCCCCTCTCCTTCCCCCCCTCCCCTCTCTCTTTTTCGTCCCCAAAACAGACTGACCTAGCTGGACAAGCGGGAAAGTTCGCAGCTCGCGATGCACGATCGGTTATCGCGAGACTGGGATCGAACATTCTAGCGGTCTCCCGAGCAACTTCCCTCCCTCCTTTTTCTCTCTTGCCGTTGAATAATTTATTTATCGAGTCGCGAGTAGGACAGAGATAGTGAGAGAGAGAGAGAGAGAGAGAGAGAGAGAAGTGCGTTCGCGACAGTCGAAATAATCTACGAAAGGACACAACACTTTTGCAAATCGTTAGTATTGGTTCGTTAATGTCGTGTCCCGCTCATCCGTCCTTCCTCTACCAACATGCGCTCTACATTTAAAATAAAGCTGAAGCGCGCGGAAGAGAACGCGCATACGCACCGAAAGGGAAAATAAAAAACGAAAGTAGAACAAGTAGTTATGCCGGAAAAAGGAGAACCAAAAAGAAATAGTCGATTTTAGTTGCACTTAGACCCGTGTTAATAGTATTGGAAACTTCCAACATGAGATATTCAGATACTGAATTTAAAATAAGATTGGGGTTTTTTTATATTTGAGTCATATATATATATATATATATATACACGTTACGTTTTTACAAGCGTAATATTCAGCTGAAAAACCCGCATGAAATTTTAAATTTTAATCTGAAACTTGTCTCAAGTGAGATATTCAGATTTGAATTGCGAGTTAGATCTGAATTTTATAGTTGAATCGCGGTTACAAATGTATAATATCACAAATATATCCTGAAACTAATCGAAAAACTTAGAACTAACTCTAAATTCAGATCCGAGTATCTTATGGGGGGAAAGTTTCAAATAATGACTATTAATACGAGTCTTAGGCCGATACTCATATTCGTATCTTATGTATAAGACCGTCTTAAGTTTCAAACCATCAACCTTCAGATGATGTACGGATGATCGTTTCATTAGCTACGAATCATCTGAAGATGGACGTAAAATGATGTTAAATATAAAATCTGACTATGAATACTAGGCTTTAGAAACGTGAAAATAATATTTCCGACTGTTGTTAAGCTACAGACAGCCAAAGAGATCCGTTTGTCTTTCTGTTCTTGACAAGCGGCGCGTACTCATATATTATTATGTATCCTGAAACATTGTAAACATCGGCCGATCCCTACGATTAGCGTACAGCTTCCTTCGCGAACGTCCGTATCATTTGTTCGATCAGCGAAATGGAACGCGGCTATCGTTAAAGACTCCACTGGATTATCTACTGCGTGTTAATATTATTAGCAGGCTTCGCGTTTCAGGAACGAGTTAGCGAGGCGAGGAGCGACGAGCGTATCGTCGTCAAACGATTGCGTCCTCGTCATCGAGAGCATCGGGGGAAGTGTCGCGCGACTTTTTCTTTTATTTTTTTCGGGAATTATCGCGCATTGCCCAACGACGTAATTGATATCTGCGCGACTATGTGTTTCCCGTTTGCCGAAAGCGCTGGGAAGGCCTTTTTGCGCGCAAGTATGATCGCGGATACGCGCGAAAACGTTTTCGCGCGCGAATCGCCAGTTGAGCCAAGGCAAATTTATGAAAATTAAGCTTACTCGCTCGCTCGTTTGCGTTTTCACGGCGTCGTCGATTTATTCAAATACGCCGACCTTTCTACCTGACGTCATCGCATATGATTCCTTATCGCTCCTGCCTATTATTTCTGGACATTAAGACTCTTGATTGCTGTGATTCATGAAGTTCCGTTCCTTTCCGATGTAATGTGACGATGTTTATAATGATCTAACTCTTCTCTTACGACATCCAGGCAAAATGATGGGGAATGTCAATATTATGATCAATTTTTCTATATTTTTGATAACCCCCCCCCCCCGCTATCTCTCTTTTTCGCGTTCGCTCGCTCTCCTCGGCAGACGAAAACGTGCGTAGGGACAAAAGTAGCCATATCAACTTTCTAATACTAAGGTATTCATCACATTGAAATTCACGAAATAGCTTTATATGTTGCGTTAATAATTTATCCACTGTGCCCGGTGATGCGCGACGCGCTGTGTAAAGATCAGAATTTTCAGATTGTGTAATAAATCGCCGCACGCGCGTGCGTCTCTGGTAGAGTTCTTCCCCACGATTACATAATATTATTATTTATATTATCATGACGACTTGATGCTTTTTCACGATCTTTGACTACTTAGCTCTTCCGGGTGCGAAGTGGCGACAGCATTCGACGACCGTCTATTCGTCCATTGCGCGCATCGATTGTATTCCCGTTATTCGGCTGCGCGTTAATAACGCGTAACGAAACGAAATCGTCGGATTTTTCTTCGGCGCCTCCTCGATCGATCTCCCCGCGGTCCGTCCGAGTCGCGCGCGTTCTCCCGTGCCGGAAATAAATCGGACGAATCAGAAGCGGCTCAAGGTACGGCCCCGCGACTTCCTGCTGCACCTATCGCCAGGTGAGCGAGATAAGGTCACGCACGATCGGCGAGATAGGCTCGCGGCGAAAAAGCGCGCGACCTTAAACGTGACCGCCAAAACCGCCTCCGGGCGCGAATTTCGGCGGCCTCCGACGCAAACGCGGAAACGTACCCGTCTCGCCCGTCGATCTCGCGAGCGTCGCGATCCGCCCGCTCTCGTTTCTCATTGAAGTTTGCGCGCGCGTGTGTGTGTATGCGCGCAGCCACCCACGTCTATGCATGCATGCACACAGGCGCGAGAACGGCCGGTCGTCACCCTAGGGCCGCTTGACATTCGTTACGTAAACAGGTGTAAGGACGTGCAATAATAATTCGCGACACGATCGGCGGTGTCGATCGGCGCGATCGGGCGCCGATCGTCGCGACGTTTCATTCAGCTTTCGGCTTTGCCGTTTCGGTGCGGCGCGCGAAAAAGCAGTACGCGAAAAGTGGCGTACGTGACGAGCGGCCGCGGGTGAATGGAGTCGGCGCTGGCGCACCGACACACGCGCGCCCGCACGCACCGACGGCCACACGGACATGGCGCGGCGCGCTGGTGTGCGCGTCGACATACGACCCCCGCGCGTAACCGCGAATCCCGGTGTGATCGGCCGCCGAACCGGTGTCGACGTGTCACAGAAAATCATCGCGAATCCGATCTTTCTCGCCGTTGCCGACGGTTCATTCATTAATAACTCACCCCAGGATCTGGCATACATCGGGACCACGAGGGTGCATAGCAGGAGAAGGCTCAGCAGAGGTGCCCGCGACGTCTCACTGGAGATCATGACTGACGATCATTTGACATTCGCGCGGCCGAGTTAAGGAGAGATGCGGCCGATGTGACACCGTGATGAACTACGGGAACCCTCTCTCTCTCTCTCTCTCTCTATTTCTTTCTCGCTTGCTCTCCTTCGGGACCGCGCGGGACTGAGAATCGACACGTTCTCACGCCGCGGCGGCAGTGCGCGAACTGAAGTCGCGCGCGCGCCGCGCTTCGCGACGTGCCGTGGCGGTGGCGCCACACTGGCGTAGGCGTCGGTGGCCGGCGGCAGCTGATTCTGTCATTTCGGATTTGCTCAACTCCGATGCCGCTTCTATTCTCGAGAATTCACCTATATGCTTTTCATGACTCGGAAAACATTCCGGTCTCTCCCATTTTTCCGCGGATTTTCCGGTCATCCATTTTCTCCGCACACTAAACAACTGGGATTTGATAATAAGTATTAAAATTCGATGAATATTTGCCGACCAAATATCTGATTACTGCAACCAAATAATTTAGTTCTGCACATTGAATATACATTATACGGAATTGCAATACTATGTATAGAACTAATTTATTTTGTTACAATAATCGAATATTTGGTCGGCAAATATTCGCCAAATTTTAGCACTTATTACCAAATTTCTTTTTCAGCGCGGGCAAAGAAAGTGCGACAGGTTTTAATCAAACACACGTGATCTTTTCTAAATGAATTTTTTTACTCTTGGACCAGAAATCGAGCATATGAAAAATTTGAAAAAAATCGGTTCTTTTCCGAACTTCAAAACTATAAAACTGACAAATAGCACTCTGCTTTCAGTTTCACATAAAGTAAATTTTTGTAAAAATTAATAATTCGCACTCGTTTTAATGTCTTTGTTGTTTAATGTTGTGCAGAAGGAAACGAAGATTTATATTTCATACACACACACTTTCTCTCTCTCTCTTCCTCTCTCTCTCTCTCTCTCTCTCTTTGAAACGTTCTATCTTCTCTCGATCCGTTCATATTTACATCAGGTTGGGTCGTACAATCGAACCATAGAGGAGAGTGCGAGTTATAATTACGTTTATCGCCGCGTCGCGCTCCGAATCAGGCGAATTGTTCGCGACGGATCGTGTAAGGTCACTCTGTTTATTTTCCGTAAGGTCATGCGTTTTAATCGCTAATTGCTACCACCGCGCGTGCGATTTATTAAGCTTAATTAAATATATCCGCGCGCGTTATACGTATATATTAATGCCGTCGCAATCTGTCGTGTACGGACTGATCTTAATACAGAAAGAGGCGGTTATCTTCCGGCTACGTGAAATAATAAGTCTCCACTTGGGATCTCTATTTAAGCGAGCATGTGGCATCGTAAATAGGTGTAGTATGCGAAGACGCGTGTTCTCAGCGCGCGATATGCACCGTAGAATATAGACGTCACCTGCGGCCTATTTACTGTTCTTGAGTTTTATCAGCGAGCCCGTCTACCTTCTGACATTTCATGCGTCAGCAGATTTCGAGAATCATCTCGAGATTGTTGCGCGCGATCGATCGGCTACGCCAATGCGTGGGCGATGTGGAATCGCGTGCCCCCGCTCGCGGCTCGTGGCCGACACGCGCCAATTTTCTTCTTCGCTCGTCCATTTAAACGTCCCGAGTCCTCACTTCTCGGCCCTTCCCATTTTATCCGGAAGCGTAGTGCGAATGCATGAGCTTCCTCGCAGATCTCGCGATCAAATCGGCATGTTTCGCGCGCGCGTCCGTTTCTCGCCACTGATTGAGGCGAGCTGTCGTGGAAAGGAAATTTCTCACCACCGTGCGAGAATCGGGAAAGAACGGCCTGTTCATTTAGTTGAATTGGCTGCATCGGCTTCAGAAGTTTACATACGCATTGCGTACGAAGCGTACGCACGAGATTTTCACGCTTCAGGGTGCACAAATTTCTCGTACTTGTGCAACCAGTTCAGTTGAAGAGAACAGACCATACGTCTCTGTCGTTTGATTTTTCGTGACAGCTCTTTAAGCATGAAGAGAGACGGACGATTTGTTTTTTTATTTAGTCGATCGGCGTGAATGATTATTGTGCGATACGAATAATCCCATGTAGCATAAATGTTCAAAAAACATTATAGAAATGTTCGAATATCCTTGGTACGTTTCTAAGATGTCTTTTGAACATTTGTTTTGTACGGGATCAAGTCGAGAAATACGTAAAAAGAAAGTAAATTGAAAGCTTCGCATTGCGAAATTTACGCGAACGATAGGAACTGCAGCAACGGTTGAGAAGTGAAAAATTACCTTAAGTTATAAAAGCTTGCAATTGAGAGTTCAAATTTCTTAAAATTAGCGACGATTTCTAGTTTGCTTATCTCTCGCGTCGCGACCGCGACGTTGCAAATCGACAACCGCACTCGGTTATTTCTCGCGACAGCTTTCAAACGCGACTTATCACATGAAGCTTGAAATTACCTGCTGCAAGCTACTGCGAGACACATTGTTGAAATCCACCGTTGATAAGCGAGTACTCGTAGTATCATTATTGGAGCACGCTGTACTATCGACGCATGGTTAACATTCCGTGCCGTTGCTTCTTGCAGAATTTCGCGTTTTTTGAAATCCCGCGTTTACGCCAACCGTCCAAGGACCCTAGAAAACCTGAAGGCCAACATTCGGGAAGAAACGGCCAACATACCCGTCGCTATGCTCGAAAGAATAATGACAAACGCCAGAATTCGGTTTACCCAGTGTATAGACAATGGGGGGCGTCACCTTTTGGATATGATTTTCAAAACCATGTAAAATAAAACTTTAGATGTACATTATAAAAAAAAAATAAAAAAATATGTGCCTCATAAAATGCATTTTATTGAATTTTGAAAAAAGGAAGTTACGCTGCCGCACCCTGTACCAACATTATTTGTCACAGTGGATATACTGACTATAATTATGCGCATAAAGGTTTTCGCGTCTACATTCAAAAAAGAAGTACATCATGATTGAATTTGGTTTATTTCTACACAATTCTCTCTTCTTTCAACAAATCTTTTACATGGTTGATAAGTATCTTGATATCTCTTAAATATAATAACATGATAATCCTGATTAGCGTGATAAAACAATAAACAATAGCGAAATCTATACTACTTTATAAACTACACTACTACTGCTACTACTACTACTACTACAAGGGAGAAATTTCTCTGCTATCACGCATAGATATACAAAGTATCTAAAAATCAACTGACAGAATAAAGAGATTCTTATTTCTATGTGATATTATTTTTGTTTGGTCAGAAGTATATTGCTAAGAATAAAGTCAGTGCTCTGTGTAAGTGCTATATAATATAGAATGATATTTTTTATATTTTTGGGCGAGTTATTTCGAAAATATGTCTAAGACATGTTCGGACATTCCTTTGTAGTTCTTTAATGATTACGGCAATCAATCTTGATTTAATTGTATATAATATGTATCGTAATTCATAGCATTATTAAATAGCTATGTT